TGATCAACTTTTCATGTTGGGTTCACTTAAAAAGAAAATTTTTTAGGGAGCCTGGGTGGCTCAGTCAGTAAGCACCTGCCTTTGGCTCAGGTCATGATCCCAGGGTCCTGGGATCAAGCCCCGCATTGCGCTGGGCTCCCTGTTCCACGGGAAATCTGCTTCTCCCTCTCCCACTCCCGCTGCTGTGTTCCCTCTCTCGCTGTGTCTCTATCAAATAAATAAATAAAATCTTCAAAAAAAAGAAAAAATTTTAAATCGATTCTCTGTAACTAATATTAAACTGTGCTTTCTTAATTAAAGCCTAAATTGTTTAGGCAATGCCTCCCAAGTTGTATACCAGCATAATGTATACATCCCCTTGATGTATTTTAATAGTCCACACACGCTACTGGATAAAGTAAGAAAATACACCGCTGAGGATGAGTAAATGCTCTCTGAACAGAAACATTTCAGAACTTCACTAATTTTAAATGGGTTATATAATACACATTTACTTTATAATCTGGGGTATAAATAAAATCCAAAATATATTTCCCAGGGGATGAAGCAAGATTTTAATTAAGAATTCTTATAAAAGAAAAGTAAGTTATAGCAAAACAGGGAAAATCTAAAACCTTAAAAATGTAAGATAGTTTTAATAACTAAGTAACAACATCTCAAGGATTTATCTTGTCACTAATTTATAGTGGCACGCCTGAAGGAAAACAGTCACTCAGAACTTTGCTCCTCCTTCACCAGAGAGAAGTTGGTCCCAAACTTCTCCAGCTGTGCCTGAAATCCAGGTGAAGTGCTAGAGTGCAGGGGATGTCCCTGGGAAACCTGCCAGCTCCCTTTCTACATTTCCGGCCCCAGTATGGTGATCTTGATCAACAGACCCTTGTTTACAGCCAGGGGACATGGTTAGAAATAATCTTTAAGAAAAATAGCCCCTACTAAAATGTCACCAAATGGGAGCAAATGTGCGGGACTTACTTAGGACCATGGAGCCCTTCTAGCAAATCTCAAATTGCACTTTGCTTGTATCTATTTATAAGAATACAAGTGGAAATCTCTTCACTGGAAAATTACTTTCCATCAAAAGCAGTCTTTAACCAACCCATTTCTCAAAATTCCCAGGGGTGATGTAAATGCTGATGACTCCTAAACCTTATATATAGTTTATGAAATCAACAAATATTAATTGAGTGCCTAGTAAGTGTCAGACAGTGCACTAATGATATACTTGTGGTCCTAGCCTACAGAGATTATCAGTTATGGAAAACAGAAAGCCTAACAAACATGTGCAAAAGAGAAAGAGGAGTATAAAACTGAGAAAAGTATAAGCTGCCTATGGGAACAGGCAGAGGCGCTCTGAATTAGGTCAGAGGATAAAGTAAGACCATGTAGAAGAAAAGCTACTTAAGCTAAAATTTGACGTCTGAGGAGGTCAATGGGATTATGTGGGAGAAAGACTTTGGGGCATGGAGACAAACAATTTTCTGAGCTGACCAACAGCATGTGCAAAAAGGCCTAAAGAGAGTGCCAGTATATGTGATGCTAACAAGGAATTTAAAAAAAAATTCTGTGGTTGAAGGTTGAGTGGCGAAGGGGAGGGGAGCAAAATCAGAGAGATACAGGTCAGGAGACTCTCACAAGCGAGGAAAGAAATTTATACTTCATCCAAGGAGAAAGGGAAAACAATTGTGCGTATTACAAATGCAGGATTGTGAACAGCCTGGATTTTTATGGGCATAAAACTTGAATATGGTTTTGTAAGACCTGGCATGCACTGTTGTGTGTTGTAACACAGTCTAAGCACATAATATGGGGTGTGAAAATGGCAGCTGAGTGTCTGGACTTGACCTTTCTCAAGGAAATCCGGGTAAGACTGTCTGAAGCATAAAGTGTCATGAAGGAAGAAGAAGGTACACCATGCCTCCATCACTGGGTAGCCGTACAACAGAGAGGTGCCCAGAATGGTGAGGGTGATACCTCTCCTCAGGTAGTGTCAGAGAGCAATAGAGACAAGCAAAGGGATCCCATGAGATTGTCCTACTTTCATGTAAGAATTGCCCTAGCTTCCATCTCCAGAGCTGTTCCCTCAGAACCCTACTGGAAACAGTCATTTATCCCGGTGTCTGCATGGGGTCAGGCTGGCATACGGCAACAAGCCTGGCTGCGGAGTCAAAGGGGCTTAAGGTGATCTGTTTTACCCGCTTTACTACTTGTGTCACCTAGGGCTACGCACACAATGTCCCTGAGTCTCAGCCTTCCCAACTTTCAAAACGTGGTGACAATTACTACCTCGGAGGGTGTTTCTGAGAAGAAAGAGCATGTGTGAAAGGCACCTAGAATATCCCTTAGCATAATAGTAGGCATTCAATAAGTGGTAGTTCTTGCTGGGTGGCTATTGGCTCCATTACCTCCCAGCATCAGGCCATGGAAGAAAAAATAAGGACTAGGGAAGGGAGAATAATAAGTTTGCTCATTAGGCGTAGGTGCCTTGGGAGCTACTTTGTTGAATCTGAATTTCTTGGGTGGCAGAAAGTAAATAAATGTTCTTAGCTTGAGGATATGTGTTTGGCTCTTATTTCACAGTTGACATCCACATGGATACCAGGAATATGACTGCTAATTAAGTGTTCATTGAGTAGCCTTTTTTTCCCCCCATAACAAACATATAATTAAGATGTCAGGGTATGCATGTACACCCACTCCTGTGGGGGTGTGTGTATGTGTGTGCGTAACGAGAGAGAACTCCTCTATAACACAGTCATAGACTGAGGAGTTGGAATGTTCTTCTGTTAGATACCACTAGTTTATTAGGGTAATTCCAAGGCCAGATAACAGTAAACTCATTCTCCCTTCAATGTTGCTAATCTAACTCTATTTAAATACGTGATTTGCTACCCGAATACTGCTTTATAGATCTGAATGAAGGCCAAGTGAGGACTGGATGCTTAAGTGTGTCTCATGCTCTCTCCTTTTCCTCTTTCGAATCTTGTCTCAGCTGACACTTCTGCTCCCTATGGAAGCAGTTGATTCCTAACACCCAAAATAGGTAACTGTCCTCTAAGTGGCTGCTATAAGAGAAGTTTTAGCCAAATGAGCCAATAAGGGCACATCAGCCAAATCTGTAACTATGTGTGATTCAGAGGGGGCTTCCTTTAAATTCTATGAAGACTGACAGCACTCAGAACATATTTGTTGAATAATTTGTTTGAGAAAATTAATGCCATACTTATATCTGAGTTTGTTACTTCCCACAACGTGCCATGCCCCATCAATACCCAATCCTTGCAACAGCCTCTGGAAATTCCCAGAGAGTGTTAAAAGGTGTATCAATAAGTCCTCTCATTTTATAAAAGATGCAGATTATCACTTGCCACAACTACCCAAAAGCAAGAGCCTAAAATAATACGCAACAAGAGGAAGAAGTTTATATTGACCTTAACTCCTCTTAAGAAAAAAGCTGTGTTCATTTAGGAACAATTCCTGAGGATAGAAAGTGAGACCCCAGTCCCACGTTGCCTTAAATTGGGTAAAACTATTTCACCTTAGACAAGAGATGATGACTGCATCCAGAAGGGGAGATGAAAAGAGAGAAGGGACATAGTGGGATATTGCATACCCTGCAAGGTGATTCTTTCCTGCAACCCTCCCAAATCTTCAATAAAGTTGTTAAAGCTCACCAAAGCCTCGAAAAAATATATTTTTATGGAACTCAATGAAAGATGTTGTACCACGTTTTGCATGGGGTGAAACCAAAGCAATAAGCTTGAGAACAGGGGACTGGGGAGGAGTTGTAGGGAGAGAAGCGTGAGGATGGGAAGGAGAATGCTTATTCCAGAGCACTGGAGTTGGATCTGGGTCCAGTCTTAGCAAACCTTTATAGGACAGGTGCCTTGGGGCACGTGGATAACATAAATTTCTTATTAATTGCCAATGAATGTAAATTTGTCTACTAAAAATCTTACCTACAAACTATACCCAGCACTTACATTACATTTATGAAGTTACATGCTCTAAAGCTCTGCTGCTTGAATGATGGGCATCCACAAGCCATTTTAGAAGAATGGTGTCACAGGGGAAAAAAAAAATTCTTGCTTATGGGCAATCCCTAAGTAATTTCCCCTTAATTGATTAAAGGACACCCATTGCTGATCTTCACTAGACCCCAAAAGAAACTCCAGCTCTCCTGAGATCAGCAATTGGCTACCGGGTGTTAGTAAAAAGAATTACTATATGAAAAGTCTCTATTCATTCACTGTTCAACAATATCGTTGTCCTAAAAATGTTTCCAGCCAGGAAAAGATCAGCAAGGCTTCTAACAATGACTTTATTTTCAGCTCTTCCCAACAGAAAACTAGCCTGTGAGGCAGACCACAGAAGTGTACTGCTGATTAAAGATAAGTTAGGCAACCTTCTTTTCAAGTGTTGTCTGATCACCCCTCTTTAATGCCATCACTTAGCATGCCAAGGCGCAAGAGCCAACAGTCGGCAACACAGTGCAGGTTAGTGAGTCCAAAACCAACCCACCCGATAAAGAAGGGCAGAGGAGAACACAGTAAAGGAGAAAGGAAAATACGTTCTGTGGACTGAATCAATTTACACCCCCAGCAGGTCTTAAAGCTGATGCCCTTTTTTCGTAGAAATCTTAATAACACAAAGTTTCCAGATAAAGTCCTGTCCATGTAAATCCTGAAATGAGTACAATTTGTCATGAAATAGTAACATGAACAGACATGGAAACCCTCCTTCAGCCAGCATATAAATTTGGACACCCCTCTCCAACCAAAGATGAGTCAAGCAGGATGATTTTTCTCTTGCATTAAAATAAGGTAGAATAACCTACATATCTCTTGGATCAGGAACGGTTTCTAGAACTTATTTGTTTATTAGCTCTATTCCAAGTCCCAGAAATAAAAATGAACTTTCCCATAGGGCCCACCTGCTCCTCAGTGCTCTTTAATCCACCCTTGTCCAAGCGGCTGAAAAGGAGAGGAAGACAGTAGACTCACCATTTGATTGCTGTACCAGTATAGCGACGTTCCCTTCAGCACTACCCAGAACTTTTTCCATTTGTTGCTCAGGAAAGTTCCTTTTTCTTTTTTCTTATACAGCCACCCTTGGCAGTCAGCATGTCCCAGGTCTTTACAGGATATCCTCCTCCGGCTCATGGTGAAAAACCCTGCAACAATTATATGAAGAGGTAGGTAACATATTACCCTGGTATATGCGACAGAGTGAAAGGTAACTGTTAATTGTTTACCTCTTGGGAGTTGGATTTTTTTTTTTACCAAGATTTATGCACAGTAAATGCAAAAAAACAAAAAAGTCTCGTTTCTTTATTTTATTTTTAAGCATTCATTTGGTGCTTAGGAGGTACAAGATAGGACCAAAGAAACAGTGAGACTAGAATGCAAGTGTTAGTCTAAGAATATTATTCAGCAAGAATAAGTTGAAATAAATGAAAATCGTGAGGCTGACAGGCACATCATTGCACTAACACAGCTCCTTCCAAAATAATAGCAGTCCTTATGCAACAGATGGAGAAGGGTTAATGCCCACCGAAACACAGCCACTTTCCGACTCAGTGCCGGCTTTTCTAAGCTTTATTGACATACCCCGAGGGATTAATCCAAATGAGCAGCATGCCATCATTTCTTAAAATCGATCCAAAAATAACCAAAAATTTAATCTGCCATCCACCTTCTGCTATTAGCATTAAGACGGACAAAAATCTGATCCCAAAGAAGGCATCGGACAGAAAACCCTCATTCACGCACACAAAAAGGGGATAAAGAAACAAAAGAGATCTAATTACCTTGAGTTTTCTTTCTCTGCTTCTGACGCAAGGGAACCTGCTGATAATGCAGGAAGGAAAGAAAAGAGGAAATTTCTGATTGTGTTGTAACATTTGTAAAGAGAGAAGGAGGGAGGGGGTGGCAGTGTTTATGAGCAGGATGGAAGCTAAAAAAAAAAACTCTCCAAGCAGAGCTAAAGGGGAGCTACTCGCTGAGGCACAAAATGTGCTAATTAGAATCGGCATACATTGGGCTGAACCTGAAGAAAGATACAAAGATGCGTAACTCGGCATCTATCACTAATGTTTCCTGTTTCCACCACAGACAGCTTTCGTGCTATCACATCAGTTAGGACAGGATGATGTGCACCTAAGTTCTTAAAAATAATGATATATTTCCCCTTTGATTGTGTGTGTGTGTGTGTGTGTGTGTGTATGAGAGAGAGAGAGAGAGAAGAAAAAAAACCAGATCCTGCTTCTTCTCCTGCAATTTCTAAATAACACCAATTATTTCAATAAACCGGGAAGATAATTGTGATCTCACAATATTACAGGTTCACATCAGATTATTAAATCCATTGCCCTGCCCCTGCATAGGGTGATACCTAAACCACATGAATTAAATATCCCAGAAAAAGAAATTCCACAACCTCTTTTGGTGACATCGAAGTAAATACCAACCCTCCTTATCAGGAAATTCTTATCTACAGCCAGATTTAAATTACTCATTCTGTCTTTAAGCATCTCTGAATATTTCTCACGGGTTTTACAGAAGATAAATTAATTTCAACGTCTATCTTATACTAGCTCTTCAAATATTGAAATCAGACATAAGATAACATATCTGAAGGACACATCTTTCACAATACATTTTAAACAATTTGTGTCAGATCAGACTATCAGCAAAAATAGGTAACAAAAAAAAAATGCTTTCAAATGACCCTGTGTGTGTGTGTGTGTGTGTGTGCATAGAGAGAGACATTTTAGATTAAAGGAGTTCACTTTTTCTCCACAATATCTAAGCTGATTTTACTCAGATTTAAAAGACTTAATCTTATATGTTAACAAGTAGAGAATTTGAAAACACTGTGATAATTGCAGAGCAGGTCTCGTAAGTTGGCATGCAATCATCCTACATTTTAAAATGTTATTGCAGAGGCACTTGGCTACTGGTCTACGTACCTAACTATTGATCTAACACAGTTATTGTATATGGGCCTATATGTGTGAAGAGGGAATATGACATAGGGGTAATAGGATGGGATTTGTAAATCCGGAGGCCTGAAATCAACTCCCTTGCTGTCATAATTAGTAGCTGTTATTACGGGAAAAGTTGATTTACCACTCAGAGCCCACTTCCTCATTCGTAAAAGCAAGATATTTCTAATAATTCCAATCCTATGGGTCTCATAGATATTCAACAAGATTGCATGTGAAAATGCTCCAAAAACTAAAAAACATTATATGACTATATGTCATATAATATTATATTATTACAGATATAAGCAAATACTTCATACTAATAAGCAAAAGTTTCAACATTTTTAGGCCAAGTAGGACTTGTATTTCCTTCAGCAATGATGACGAAGTCAATGGGCTTAAATTATATTTCCTGGGAAATCTCATACTAACTTTTTTTTTTTTTACATATGTTAGAAAGAAATTTTATCCCTGAAGGAATCAATCATCCTTGTGAGACACGGACATAACAAAGGCAGTAACTGCCTTAAATTTTAGATAAGAATAGAGTTATTACAGTCATGACATGTGACTAAAATTTAGGCATAGGATGACGCCAGGGTCCTAGTCTCAGCTCCACTTCCCCAAGTCTCTCCCACCCTGACCTGCATCTTGGTCTGAAATTCCCACCATTTCTTCAAATGGTCTCCTGGGGTCTATTTACTATGTAATTACCTGAGATCAGGGAAATCGGTTAGTACCTACCTACTCAAAAATTTTAGCCCAAATACATATATCATTTGGACAATTAAAACTTAGGTAAGATCGAGGACTAAAGGCAAAGAAGAGAGTAAATAAATTTAGCTGTGGAAACAAGAGGCATTCCCAAAGGGTTCTGGCCCCAGATGAACAAGGTGAATCACACTAGTTCATACAAAAAGAGCAACTCTAAGAACAAAAGAAAGGAAAGTCTCAAGAGGACAACTGTAGAACCTGTGAAGGGAGGCAGCTCTCAGACCATCTCTCCTCACTGCAAACCAGTGAATCTCCTCCATTCACCCCCTTCTGAGCTCCGGTGGGACCGGGAGCTCTCCAGCTTCTCCATCCAACCTTAGGGCTGGCTCCAGAGAAAGCCCAAATGAAACTAGGTTTTGTCTCAGTTTTGCCAAGACCAGCCCTCGGTGTTTGCTGGTTTGCCTCGCTGGGTGAGAGTGGGAGCTCCAAGCAGAAGGACGATACCTCAAACAGGGTGAGCACCCAACACCGAGAAAGGATTTTATTCAGAATTTTTTTAAGGAGAGCAAAAGAGTTTATAGTCAGTGAGTACACCCTCCTCTGGCAATACTTCTCCTAAGACAAATTATTACAAAATCCATATTAACTGTTCAAACTGTTTCCCCCAGCCAGAAACAGAGTGCATATTATAGAAATAACAAATTATAGGGAGTTTCAGTTTCACCTGATGTATATGAATTTGAAACCTACATTGGTTTACATGAGAGAATGAAAACAATCTTGAGAACTTCAGTGAGTTTAAGATACATTTTACTCCTCACAACAGGAAGTGGAACCCACAAACTAGTCAGTTTCAAAAAGATCTTACATGTGGTTTTTTTCACTAGGTAAGTGAAAAAAAAAGCCAAGCAACCAGTTGAGCAATTTATAAGATAGTTTTTTGATAGAGAAATTACAACTCATTATCATAACAAGTATCCAGAGCCTAATAAGATCTTCCCATTGGGATGTTGTGGGTAAAAGGGAAGAATTACTCTAAATTCTGAATTTACACTAACTTGATTCTAAAATATGGGGGAAATTTTTCTTTTAAATATATATTTCCTTTTTACTGGAAAACAGCACTTTTATTCTACAAAATGGTTACAAAAATTCATTTGGTTACTAATCATTTAAAAACACAGATATAACAAGCAAAGGAAACCAGTACAAAATATACAAAGGGACCTCCTTTGATGTTGAGTGATGATGCTAACACCCAAGTTACAGGGTAATTAGTACAGTGACTTCTAATCTATATAGTAATTGGTAAATCTTGCAGGCACAGTTTACCCCCATGATATATTAAAACTCACAGTAAGATGGTTTGTCATTGCATGAAACTTCATAATGATTCTGGTCTTTAGCAAAATTATACAGTGATATGATAGTAAATGGGCCCTGATTTGTAGCATTTACCAGTTTCCATGGTGTGAAGCCTCCCATCATTGTCAATTTCAAGCTACCAGTACTTTAACCAAACCACAAAATTCCTAAATATTTTACAGTCAATTCCAACTGACAGAGCTGTTAAGAACATTTCTCCACAAACGGCTTTCCCCCACAAAGATCTTTTCTCCGTCCTGGAAAATTAAACTCAACTTTATAAAGGGAATTTTAAAGTTTTCAATTATTAAAACTTTACCTGAGAAAATACATGAAAATCTCGCTTATTTTTTTTTCAGAAGACTAAATTGCTCTGTATATATTACACTTAAGGGTCTGGATTTTGGAGAAATTCTGGAATAAGGGTATAAAATTGGGAATCATCCATGTACAGAGAGTAGAAACCTTGAGCTGGGATAAGATCACCTCTGTGTGTAGAATAACAAAGAATTGAAGTCAGAATCTGAAGGAGGCCCAATTTGTTACACAGAAGTAACAGAGAAGACAATCAAGGAGACTGAGCAGAATAGCCAATGAAAAGGTAAAGAAAATCAGGAGAGGGGTTGTTGTGGAAGTGAGGAAGAGAGTCAAAAGAAAGGTGAGTTCAAACCATCAAGTCCTGCCGATATAAAAGAGAAAGATCCACTCTCAGGTATGTACGGCAGCCCAACGAAACACATGCCCGTGTGCACAATGCAAGTCACAGACAGTTGTGAATTGCAACACGGTGGTGGTAGAGCACAACTGTGGGAAGCTGAATGTGTGTGGGTATGTGAGTGGATAAATACTGTCACTCTCATTCATTGCTGTGCTCTATCAGAACTAGAGCTGCATGGAAAAAAAATCTCAGAAACACTATATTGAAAATTAAATGTCTATATTAATGCTATTGTTTACAGTATTGTTAAATATTGCTTATAAATACTAAAACTGCATGGGAATGATAACCATCACAATGTAACCTGGGGTGAATGACAGGGAAATAGCAAAAGGAAGGCATCAGTAGGAAAACGCAACTGTGTTTATGTTTTATTACTTTAAAAATAACATTAAGGGGCGCCTGGGTGTCTCAGTCGGTTAAGTGTTTGACTCTTGATTTCAGTTCAGGTCATGATCTCAGTGTCGTGAGATCAAGCCCGCAATGGGCTCCACGCTCAGTGGGGAGTCTGCTTGAGACTCTCTCTCTCCCTCCCACTCTGACCTTGCCCCTGCTTATGCTCTCTCTCTCAAATAAACAAATAAATCTTGAAAAAATAAAAAAATAGTTCATAGCAGCAAGGTTCACAATAGCCAAACTATGGAAGGAGCTGAGATGTCCTTCAACAGATGAATGGGTAAAGAAGGTGTGGTTCATATATGTAATAGAATATTACTCAGCCATCGGAAAGGATGAATACCTACCATTTGCATCGACATGGACAGAACTGGAGGGGATTGTGCTAAGTGAAATAAGTCAAGCAGAAGAAAGACAATTGTCATATGGTTTCACTCATATGTGGAATATGAGGAATAGTGCAGAGCACCACAGGGGAAGAGAGAGAGAAAAGTAAACGGGAAAAAATCAGAGAGGGAGACAAACCGTGAGAGACTCTGGACTCCAGGAAACAAACTGAGGGTTACAGAAGGGAGGGGGGTGGGGAGATGGGGTAACTGGGTGATGGGTATTAAGGAGGGCATGTGTTGTAATAAGCACTGGGCGTTATATGCAACTAATGAATCATT